ATGACCAGATGAAAGGTGAAACAATGCATTTAAATAGAGTCGATGGAACTAAAGAAAATGTTTCTTCTCCACCAGTAGTTCTTCCGTATGGTCCCTATGGAATGTATGGAAACCCTTACGAAAGACCATTTGACCCATTGACTGGTGGAAGTAACTGGTATCATTACGGACGAAGAAGAAAGACAGTTAAGCTGGAGACAGACGTGAAGAAAGCAACTAAAAAGAAACCAAGGAAGAGAGTTATAAAGCAATGAATTCAACAGGTTAGAAAACGTGTTAGAAAACGTGTTAGATCTAACATTCTAACATAAACATTATTTTTGCGCTATGTTTTCATACGTGTGAGGGTGGTGATATCATTAATTTTTAAGTTTATTTTTAAATAAATGACAGAACAAAAATAAAGCATATCTACTCAACAGGAATGAGACCCTTACTGACTATGTATTCGTTTAATGCTTGATGAAAACAATGGTACATATTATCGTATGGGTATACACAACGTCTGTTTCCATCGTCGTCGTATATGTAGAGCTCAAATCCAGTCCAACCTTCTTTTGTACAATATGTAGCTTTATTTAAGTATGCATTTATGTAGATAAGGCAATTTTCTTCATCGCTCCAGAAATAATTTTTGTTCTTTGTTGAAATAGTTTTCGTTCCTCTGCGACCATAAGGAATGTATGCAATGAACTTTGCGTCATAAGGGATTGTAATATATTCAGGGTTTCTTTCATCGTCAATGGGTCTGTCTTTGTTAAAATTCATGTTTCTCAGTTTTACTTGAGTTTTGAATAGTTCACGGAAACGTTCTGGGAAAGAGTCATAGTAAATGTAGTCGGACATTTCTTTGTAATGAAATAAAAATTTAAAAAAAAATAATAAGGTTATTTTTTATTTAGTGAGGACGGTAGTGAATTCGTTAGTGAAGTCGTTTATGTGTCAGATGGTTTTGTAAATATTTAAGGTTAAGTTGGTGTTATGGTTGTGTTGTAAAATATACGTTACTGGTTTCGTAAAGTGTCAAAACCGCTAAGTGGTGTACGGAGGCGCGCAGTGCCACAGTACACGACTTAGGGATACTAACTCACCTTTGGACACCCTATATTGTTTCTCTGAGATGATTCTATTTATATTATTCTCCATTTCTCTCTTTTTGAAAGAGGGATTTTATACAGTTAGTAAATGTCTATATTTTTTTTAATTTATTCGTCCTTTTATATCTATGATGATAAATTTGACTTTTTTGTTCATTGATTTAATTTATGATACAAAGTGTATTTATTAGTATCTTATTAGAATACATATATTTTGCATAATTAATGCGATCTATAAATATTTCAATATTATCAATTTTATAATCAATCAAATTAATAGCTGTGATATCGTATATATTATTAAAATTAACAGAAATTTATATTGACGCCTATTTAATCATTACCTTTTAAAAAATATGAATGAATTTTTTCTGATTTAAAAAAGTTTAAAGTATTTTAGCAAATATTACCTTATTTCATGCAATATTCCTTGAGAGTGAGATCATAGCAGCACAAAATCAATAGAGAGTCCAAATTCAAAATATTGATTCGATTATTTCCTAAAAATCAAGGGGGTTCTCAAGAATCCTATTACAAATTGAACAACAATTTTATATTATAATGTATAACTACATAGTGTATAAAAACGATTTTTGAATAATGAAAACCAAATAATATAGTGGCTAATCGCAAGCCCTTTTGTAATAAACAGAAATTCATCAAAAGTGACAGCTCTCAATTTTTTGACATTTGTAAATTCTAAATTGAATGAGAAAAATGAAATAATACTAAGCATAATACAATATTCTAGATTTAATTATAATTAGGGAAAAGTTAGTTTTGAGAGTACTTTTCATAGGCATATAGAATGAAATCTTCTGAAAAATAATATCACATAAACTCATATTATTTTCTAATATATAACTATTTTATATAAAAATCAAATTCAATGATCTTAAAAGCGAAGGATAAACCTCAAAATTTACGAATATAATGAGTGGGAATATAATGCTTATCTATCATAAAACCATATGAAATATCAATTTTTGCTTTACGCCTAATTTTTGACGACAATTAGCAAAAAATGTTAAATGTTAACACTCAGTCCATTTGAATATGAAAAATAAAATTGACTTTGATTAAATGTTTTTATTTATCATGCAATTCTTCTTGCGACCAAAGATTTGAATAAAAGTTCAAAAAATAAGATAGCTTAAAAAATAATATACGGTAGTGTTTACTAATAGATGAATAGTATATAAATTCTATTAAAATGGATTTGATCCAAAAAAATATATAAAATTTGATCATAAATAAAATCGTTTTAAATTACTTCTTCATTTAAATTACCCAGATTTTCCTTACTTTTACCACTCCCCATGTAATTTCTGGGGAAAACGATAATTCATTTTTTTTATGGATGAATAGATCGTTTTCCTAGAAAGGACCTCATATCTCTGGCTAAAAAGAGTGTCAGATCCTAAATAGATTATTGATCTAGTGTACAAATCCAATAAAAAGCCTATTTTTTTGGCTTTTTTGGTGCTCATTTTTTCGAAGATCTACATGAATATGGGGAAACCATCGGATTTTTTTGGTTAACCCACATCTTCATGTAGTCTGGACTATCTTTCCTCGAAGGACCTCTTTACGGGTGTAAAAACTCATAAAGTTCTCAAAAGATTCATTCTCGATCTCCATGCTGAAAGAATTTACAATAAAAAAGAGATCTACGCATCAAACTACAGCCATAAATGAACTGAACCCCTAAAGCTCAGCTCTTAGTTTATCAAAAACGTCGAAATCCTTCTCATTGCAATCAAATTTTCTCAATAACTCATAAGAAAAATCGAATTTTGATTAAGCCGATGTTATAGTATCAAAATACTACAAACTTGAGCAATCTCGAAATTGCCAGCAAAAGTTTGAAATTGCATTGCTCATATTTGTTTTGTAAACTAAAAATCTGCTTATATTATTCATTAATTTTTTATATATTATTCATATACTTTAATAAAAACAATACTATTTCACCTTAAAAATGAATTTCATAAGTCAATATTATTTTTTGAAAATGTATCAATTTTCGATTAAAACAACATGAGAATAAAATTTACGCAAAATTATTTTAAAAAATGGTTTTAAAAATTTACAATTGATTAAGAATAAGATTGGAAGAAGTTTTGAAGTTTAATTTTAAGAAAAAAAATTCGGATATTATTCATGGATCTAAGTAATCTGATATTTGAGTATCGGCACTAGGGCTGTACAAGATTTAAAAAAACATTGCCGGGTTACCGTAGAGGCCTAAAAAAATCGCGCCTCGGCGGCAAGCCGCCTCGGCATTAAGAATGCGCATCTAAATTTTTATATGTCCTTCTTTCTTTTATTTTTCCCTTCCCTTCCTTTTCTTTTTCTTTTTTCCCCTCCTCTTGCTCTCATTTACCTTTTTTTTCCTTTTCTCATCATTTTTCAAAATTTAAAATTTTTATCAAAAATCTTGCCTATAAAAGCAGATTATGGAACCTTTTAATGCCTCTTAATCAATATTATACAGCATAAAGCATATTAAATGAAAGTAATTACGTATAAATTTATTTTATTATCTTATTTATTAATTCTTTAGCATGTATTGTTTAATATTAACTTTTCTGTACATTAAATATGATATCTCCAAAGTATGAATGCCTTGTAACGAAACGAAAACTTAATTTTATGTTGAATATTTGTCACAAACATTAGATTATTAAAATATATGTTGGATATCCCTTAGTATGAGACTTCATGACTCTTGTTGTCTAACGTGAGCTTTGGATTGCAAGCTTGCTACAGCACATAAGTATTCTGTGGTTAAAAAAACCACATGAGCTTTAAAAACGATAAAACCAAAAATAATTGTTATAATTTAAATGAAGAAGTAATTTAAAACGATTTTATTTATGATCAAATTTTATATATTTTTTTGGATCAAATCCATTTTAATAGAATTTATATACTATTCATCTATTAGTAAACACTACCGTATATTATTTTTTAAGCTATCTTATTTTTTGAACTTTTATTCAAATCTTTGGTCGCAAGAAGAATTGCATGATAAATAAAAACATTTAATCAAAGTCAATTTTATTTTTCATATTCAAATGGACTGAGTGTTAACATTTAACATTTTTTGCTAATTGTCGTCAAAAATTAGGCGTAAAGCAAAAATTGATATTTCATATGGTTTTATGATAGATAAGCATTATATTCCCACTCATTATGTTCGTAAATTTTGAGGTTTATCCTTCGCTTTTAAGATCATTGAATTTGATTTTTATATAAAATAGTTATATATTAGAAAATAATATGAGTTTATGTGATATTATTTTTCAGAAGATTTTGTGTTCTTCTTCAAAATTTTATTTTTTTATTAAAAAGAATCTTTACGAAATATACATTTACTTTAATTAATATTTAAAAACGTGCTCTATTAAAAGTTCCAAAAATTCAATATTTTAGCTTTTCTGAGGTGTCACATTTGATGAATTTCTGTTTACAACACTTTAAATAGACTTAAGCAAATGAAAGCATATTCACATCGATTTACTCATAAATTGCAAGTTAAGAGAAAGAATCTTAGTTTTTGAATTCCAACGAGTATTTTTATCGAAAAATATCATGCGAGTACAATTAATTAACATATTTAAATGCAAATAATCATTTACGTTTAACTAGGTTTCTCACAATTTTTTTATGAAATTTAATGTAACAAATAATTTATGCTTGAATCAACCCTTTTTAGAACAAATTTCTGACAGTTCAATATTTTGTTTCCAATATTTTGAATAGTTTTCAATTTATTTAATTTGAAAATATAAAAATCATCGATAGATATGAATTTATTCCGATTCAACTTGAAGAAAATTGAATGTTTGAATGCATTCAAAAAAACAAAATATTCATATCTGCCTCAAAATTTTTTATATGCTTCTGGTGATTTTTTTCGAAATCGCCAGAAGCTGTCCTAATACAAGCATTCTAGAAATCGAAAATAATACAGAATTTGTTGAAGATTTCGCTTATCATGGTTGCATCGAAATTGAATCAGTTATTTTACCAAAATCCTTATTCAAGATTGGCATATACGCCTTTTGTGATTGTACGTCACTTGTGAATGTCACATTTCAAGACAATTTGACCACAATTTGTGATTATGCTTTTTATAATTGTTCAAAAATTCAGAATATTAATCTTCCATTATCACTCAGAACCATTGGAAAATCAGCATTTTCGGAATGCACTATGATTAAAATGCTTAATCTCCCTAATAATGTCAGTTCAATAGGAGAATATGCTTTTTATAACTGTCAGCAACTCTCAACAGTACGATTACCAAGTAACATCGAAATCTTAAACAGTTCTTTGTTTAAGTTCTGTCATAATTTGGAAAATGTGAATTTTCCACTCTTACTAAAATCGATTAGAAAGGTTGCATTTTATGGCTGCTTGAAACTTCAAGGCACAAAATTTACAAATCACCTCGAATCTATTGGCGAGTTTGCCTTTTTCAATTGCATTTCAATTGCAAGAATAACACTCCCACAATCGCTCAAAAATGTTAGTGAATATGCATTTTCAGGGTGTATTTCGTTAGAAAACGTTAGAATAAACGGGATTGAAGAAATACAGAATTATCAATTCTCAAATTGCATAAACTTACTTGAGATCGCATCCGAAACACCGTTAACAATGATTGGTGAGTACGCATTCTATAACTGTTCAAATCTGAAGATTGTACCAGATCTCAGTTCAGTTTTATACATTGGACAATTTGCATTTTACAAATGCTCTCAAATTGAAATTTTTAAAAAGTTTTCAAATTCGATTAAATCAATAGAAAATTGCACATTCTATAGATGTGAGTCCTTATCATCATTGGTTCTTCCGAATACTATTGAATACATCGGAGAATCATCTTTTTCTGGATGTATAAACTTAGAATTAGTTTTTCCGGATTCTCTTATTGAAATTGCTGATTATTCATTCTATAATTGCAAAATTGGATTATCATTAGTATTACCAGATAGTATAATAAGGATAGGAGAGGCAGCATTTAGTAAATGCAAAGAAATAACACAAATTCAAATGTCAAAAAATGTTGAAATTATTGGGAAATATACATTTAGTTATTGTGAACATTTGGAATCAATAACATTATCAGGAAATATAACAACGATTCCCAGAGCATGTTTTTATAATTGTTTTGCATTAGAAAGTATTGAATTTGGCAAACAATTGAGAAGAATCGAAAATGGAACATTTTTCAATTGTACGAACTTGTTATTTTTTGAATTACCAGGAACACTTGAACATATTGGAGATTTTGCATTCTACAATTGTCAAACAATAGATTATGTAACCATTCCTGAATTTGTTACTGAGATCAGGTATTCAACATTCTATAAATGCATTTCAGTATCAGATTTCACATTGCCATCGAAATTGAGAAAAATTGGTGATTATTCATTCTACAGATGTTCAGAACTCCAATCAATTGTTTTACCAAAGCATCTAGAGTCAATAGGAGAAAAAGCATTTTATAAGTGTTATAGATTAAACTCAATATATGTTAATACAGCAAAAGACATTACAGAACAAATTGACAATAGTTCTTTTACTTTTTGCAATTCATTTGCCCACATTTACTTTTTCAATGTTGGATTGTGTATGCTAAGAATGAACAAGACATTGTGCAATCAGATAGAAACAATAACATTTGATGTAGAGAAACTTCAGTATATTCCAACATTAAACCATTTTCCTCATTTGTCTTATTTGAAAATTAGAAGTGTAATGAATTCTTTAATCATTCAAAATAACTTCATTTCCACAGATCAAGAACTTATCATTGATATAAGATGTGACATTAATCAAATTGAAAGTTATGCGTTCAATGATTGTCCTATTGTTTTGTTTATCTATTGTGGAAAATCGTTATTAAATGGTCAGTTTTTGAAAAATACAAAATTCTGTGAAAAAGTAATTGCTTCAGCAGAATATCCATCACAAAAACTTGGTGGAGTAGAGATCACAGAGAGAAACGAAGACTGTGCTTATAATGAAGGTGATTTCGAACCAAGAATGTTTGATACAGATTTAGAAAACGGTAATTCTTCATCTTCTTCATCATATTCAGATTTTGAAATCTCTTCTTCATCTTCATCATCAGAAAAGTCTAATTCTTCGGAAAATGTTGATGATAATGCAGATGGTGATATTCCAATGCCTACACCAATTATTAAAGGAAAAACTGAAGAAGAAATAGAAGAAGAGATGAGGAGAAAGAGGATATTATTTGGTGTTATGATTGCAATATCAATTGTAGTTGCTTTTATTGTTATTGGTGTATTTGTTTACATCAAATATTTTAAGACAAAGTCAGAGCCAATAGATCATAATGAAGAACTCAATGAAGACGGTAAAGAGCTCGAAGAACTTGATAATCCTATCTAATTATAATGAATTTATTTAATACTTGTTTATTAATAAACATTTACCATGATATACTATTGTAAAATCTGAAGAATTTTTCTTACAAAAAACATCACTTATAAAAATGCTCATTTGTGAATCTGAGTTATCATTTAATATTGACATTATTAAATCATACAGTGGCTGATAACAATTACGTGATAAGCATATGGACAGTCAAATTGACAAGTTAAAAATGATAAGTTCACACTGAATTGAAAGCTTACAACTTCTAATGGAAATTCACAAAAATATTGAGAATTCTTCATCTTCATCATCTTAAGATTTTGAAATAATTTCTTAAGGGTCGAGTATACTAAATCACTTCACTTCTTCTCCAACGCAATTATGATATAGTACATATATAAAAGAACTGTTATTAGATCTGAATTTGAAAATCTAATGAAAAGCGGAAAATATGTATACAAAATTAGAACAATATTGGTAATTCATGCCTGTAAAAGCGAATAGTAGAAGCGACCCTTAATTAGATTACTTATTGATCATGAAAGGGAAAAAAAGGTATTATTAAATTAAGACAAGAATAATTCATCGTCATCATTTCTTAATTAGAGATTGTTGACATACATTACTTTATTGATCATTGATTAATAAAAAAAGTATTATTAAATTAAGACAAGAATCTAAATAATAAGTAAAATTATTTATCATACTTAACAAGTTCCCTCTCGAAGTAGGATGCGGCGGAGTGAGTCATTGTGACGTTGTATTCAACGGACTGAATGACAGAGTTATCCTTCGGCAGAGAGAGGAGGACGTGGTGCATGTACGCGGCTACAGAGCAGACTTTCTCCGGGTTCACGTGCATGAACAGAATCAGTGTCATCGGAAGCCAGTGGTCGGCGCCGATCTCTTTCAGTCCCTGGTACGAAAGGACGTTGATGATCGCACTCAGTGACCTGTCGATCCACTCCGAAATCGGGAGAGCTGAGTCCTCAGCGAAGGCCCTCCTCAAATGGCTGGCAGGAAGTCCCATCAACGACGGATCTTCCTTGAAAATGGTGAGGAAATTCAAGTTGTTTGACGCGTGCAATTCTTCCAAGTGTTCTTCAATCATTTTGTGGACTTTTGCGTCTTTTTCAACTATATCAGGATGATGTTTCATGAACTCACTCAATGTAACAATCTTCGTGAGCTTGTTGTATATAATTGGAAGGAAAATCTCTCTTTGTACAGCGAATTTCTTCGATTCTGCAAATTCACTGAATGATTTAACGATGGAAATATAAGTTTGAGAGAATTTCTTAGGTTCAAGACACAATTGGGCAACATTGGCTGCGGCTTCTTTGAACGGTTTGGTCGCTTGGTCCCACAAATTGAAGAATGCCATTTGTCTCGTTTGCAACAAAAAGGAAATCGCCTGGGAACAGTGGAGTTGCATGACTTTGAAGACATCGTTGGATGCACTCGTGCTTAATGTGTCTTTGCGGTGTGTCATGCGGAGATCATAGGCCTTTTTGAGCAAATCAAGATAATATTTCACATCATCTGGGGCGTTGTACTGCTGCTTGAGGTTTTTGAATGCGTCAAGCTTAAGTTCGTATTGGAGACGTGAGGATCCGGCATGCAGAGCAATGGCAAACTCAAATGTTCCGATTATATCAGATTCAATGCGGGAAACATCGAGTTGAATGATCAGTGACCTGATCAATGATTCAAACGGATCGGCAACCGATTCGTTTTCTGTAGTTGTCGTTTGGTTTTGAGAAATTGAACGAGTTATTGGAATTTGATAGACTCCTTCGCTTTCTGGAGGTGGAATATCACAGCCTGCGATGGATGTGAAGACTTTGATGTCGCTCTTGAAGAAATAAGCAACAACATTGTTATGAGATAAAATATTCTCGAGATCTTGCTCGTGAGGAAGATGTAAGATCGTATTCGATGTGTTCTTTAAGAATTCAACAAGTTCTTCGATGTTTGATTTGTTTTCTTCGATGGATGGAATTAAATATTCGAAAGTACGAGTTTCGTTTGAAGGAAGTAAGCCATGGATTGACGGTTTTGTTAGAAGATGCATGAGAATGCAATCTATGAAGAATTGTGTTGGGTTTTCTGTTTTAGAAATGAGTTCACGTAAAATTGCCGGGAAAAAGAAGGATCTAGACTTAAATAAGTCAAGAATTGCTTGTAGGTTACCTTGTTCGGCTAATACTTTGGCGGCATCTGCTTGAATGGAGCTGAGAAATACGAAAAACATTTGATGAACTAATAATAACCGAGTAATTGATGGTTGGTGCTTAGAATCTACTAAGAGCAAGAAGTTAATAAAATTCATTGCTTCTTCGTAGCTCCATAAGCATGAAAATGCTGCTGGAAGAAAAGAAAAGACAATATAGTTTTCATCTTGAGGATTTGAATCGATATACTGAGAAATTTTGTCGGCAAATTGTTTGTTGTTGTCTGGTTTGAGCAGATCAGCGAGATAGCTCTGATACTTTCTCGCCATATCTGTCGAAAAACCTTGAGGAATCGTCTTTGATAGCGCTTGAAGATCGGGAATTTCTATGATTTTATCTGTCTTTGTTTGTTCCAATACTGCGAGATGCAATGAGAAAACTTTTCTTGATAATGAAATAACATTTTTGATCGAATCAAATGATTCTTTGTCGAATAATTTTGCTTGTTGAAGTTCGATATCGAAGAATGCTTGTTCTCTGTGTAAAAGTTGTCTAAGATAATCAAGCTCCTCAGTTAAGTTGTCTTTACTCATTTTCAAATTCCAAAAAAGGTGACATTTCATAGAACTTTCTGAAATATAGTTAGTTATGAAAACTTCATAATTTAGATCATTACTACGTGTGATTTCTGAATTATACTTAATTTTCCCTTTATGCTAAATATGCCAATCAAATTTGAAAGAAATATTTTGTCACTTTTCCAGATTTGTTATGTATATTTCTTTTCACTAAATCAAATACCACCACTTTGAAGAAATTCCGTCTGTTTTCACAAAATGAAATTTGATTTAATTCTTAGAGTTTTTTTCTTTAATTTTTTAGTTTTAAATTTTTTTTGGAAGTAAAAACAATGATTTGAATAAAATTAATACTATGGATGAACAATAATATACAATCTCTATTATATTTATGAGTTTTATGTTCTGATTCTAACAATAATTATAATTATATTCAATACTTCTTTTATTTCAATACCATAATGGATTGTTAACATTTAGAAAAGCTACCTAAAATATTGTATAAACAAAGTTTACGTTTAATTCATCTATAGCAAAAAATCTTTATTTAAAGAATCCATCTATTTGTTTCTGCTTCGTATGACCTTTAGTTGTCTTTCCTTTAGGTGAAGCTTTAGATTTTCCTTTTGGCGAAGCACTCTTTGAGATTTCTAATTGAGCTTTTGAAATATCATCTACATCATTCAAAACTTCACTAGCTTTCTTCATATCTGCTTTGGAAGTTTCTTCTATTTCATTAGCTTTCTTTTCATCATTTTCTTTTTGTTTGTTTTCTTCTTCTATTCTTTTCATCTCTTCATTTTCTTTTTGAATTCTTTCTGCTTCTTCTTTAGCCTTCTTCTCTTCTTCTTCCTTCTGTTTATTCTGTTGTTCTTCAATTAATTTCTTTTCTTCCTCTTCTTTTTGTTTCATTTCTTCAGCTTCATTTTGTGCTCTTAATTCTTCTTCTACTTTCTTTTTCTCTTCTTCTTCCTTTTGTCTCATTTCAGCTTCTTTCTGTTTCTTAAGTTCTTCTTCATATTTCTTTATCATTTCTAATTCCATCTTCTTCTTGATTTCATCCTCAACCATTTGCTTTGCAATAACAGGTGAAGCAATAGTTGCAACTTTCTTTGTAGTAGTTTTAGCAGGTGATTTAGCCTTTCTACTTCTCTTAGGCTTAGGTTCTTCAGGTAATTCGTTTGCTTCAATTGTTTCAACCTTTGAAACATCTTCGATATTTACCTGCGGAACATTGATTTTGAACTGTAACAATTCATCTGGATTAATTGGTTCTGTTGGTTCACCTGGTGGTTCTTCCTTTGTATTCTTTGCTTTTCTCTTAGGTGTTGTAGCTCTTTTAGTTTGCTTCTTTGGCTTTGCTTCTACAGGTGGAGGCAAAGCTGCATTTAAAGTAGCTATTAAGTCAATTTGTTCAGTTGTAGCTGTATTTGGATCATTAGAAGGATCTTGAGGAACATCTGGTTGAACTGCAGTTGGAAGAGGGAATGAATTGTTTATTTGTGCTTCTTCTTGAGGAACAGCCTCTTTAGCTGCTGCTTTACCTCTCCTTCCTCCTTTTGGTTTTGGTGCTGGTTTTGGAGCTTCAGTCTTCCTGTTTCCTCTTCTTGTTTGCATTCTTGTTGTCATTGTACTCGTTGATTGTTCTTCAACTGGCTGCTCTTGACCAACCTGTGGCTGACCTTCTTCGACTGGCTGTTGTTGGGCGTTTTCTTCTGTAGCAATTGTTTGTTCTTGTGGTGGAATTTCTAATTTTGCCGCTTTTCTTGGCTGACGAGGTTTCTTTGGAGTTTGTTTCTTTACTTGAATCGGTTTGATTTCTTCTACAGGAGCCGCTTGTTCAACTGGCTTTGTTTCCTGATCAGGAGTTACTTCATTTGGTTTGTCTTCTGTTGCAGTTTCAGTTGTGGCTGCATTATTTTTATCCCAATTATCAAATCCATTTGAGAGTTCCAAGAAATGGCTCAGAGACTGAGTAATGCTTGTTGTCTTTTGAGGAATAACTGGTGGCAATTCAGGTGTTTCAATTGGTAAAGGCTCTTCAGGTTTCTTGCGCTTCTTTGATGTTTCTTCTTCTTGTGAATCTTCTTCTTCAGGAAGAATAATTTCATCAGAAATTTCTTCTTCTGGTAAATCAATATCAGCATCATCAGATTCATCATCCTCGAGTTTGGAACGAGACCTAGACTTCTTGTGATGTTGAACAGCTTCTGTTGGAGCTGGTTTAGGTCTATTAGCATCTTGATATTCTTTAGTTTCTTTGATTTTTTCAAGCATTTCAGGGCTGCGTTCAGCAATTAAGTTTAATGTTCTATCATAGAGTTCTTGCATAGGTACATCACAGTATTTTTCTAAATCTTCGCTTTTACGAGCTAGCATTTGCTTGACCAAAATCATCGCATTATTACCAGATGGATCTTGAAGATAGAAGTCGAAAAGTTCAAAATATGTTGCAGAGAACTTCTCACTATCATGATATATAAGAGAATCTGTGAATTGACGCTCTAAATCAGCGAGCGTTTGAATTTGTGTTGGTGGAATCAAAAATCTTGGGAATTTAACATTGTATCCAACCCAAAAGTTGGCAGATTTAGACCAACGAACTGCAAAGTCTTTGAAGAAGATAATTGGTGAAATATCACCATTTGGTAATTCATTAGTAATTTCAACTTTCTTGATTTCAGGCATTTCACCATAGTATTGAACATGAAGAACATCATGTAATTCAGCTGGGTTAGATAAACTCCAGATTGTAACGGTCTTTCTTTGTGAAATGCAGAGGATAAAATTGTTAGCAAATGATCTAAGATATCTGATACCTCCTTCAACGCGCATTGCCGGCAAGCATGGCAAGCCAAACTCTGCATCAATAAATTGTATTGAAGAATCTTCAAGTCCAACAATGATTGTATCATTGCAGTAACACATTGAAGTAACTAATAATGGAAAGAAACATGGTTGATCCCAAACGCAAACGTTATACTTAAGCTTTAATAAATATGAGGTTCTATCGATTGATTTAATTTGATACCATATATTTTTATCAACAGGATCTATAACAGAGAAGTATTTTTTTGATAATTCTGAATCGTCTTCAGTTGGAGCAGTAATATTTAACAGAGTTACTTCAATTCCGAGTTCAGCTTCATTATTAGCTATTGAACTCACAAGAATAGGGCAAATAACATCATTTTCTTGCTCATTATCTTGTTGTAAAGTTAAAATCTCCTCAGGTGAAAACATTGTCATGGACGTTTATTAATTCAAATCTCATTCATTACATAGGATTTCAGTATAAGGAAAAGAAATTTCGTAATAAAAGGAAGAACTATATTAAAGGTTCGTATATTTAAATGGAAATTGATGAACCAATTTTTTTATCAGTTCCAAAATGGAATTTATGCGTTATAATTCTAATGTACTACTATAAAAAATCAATTTCATCAGATTAACAAATTCATTAATGAAACTCTTGGGGAGATTGTTAGACATTTCCCGAAAGTTTGGACACTTTCTGAAAGGGATTGTTGTCTGCAAGGTACTACACTATATCAAGGGGTAAAAAAGGGGTTGGCGTCCTAAGGCCGCCTAACGTAAATTTCTCAAAATTGTGATATTTACATCACATTTTTGAGAGGTTTATGGGCGTCCTAAGCGAAAATTGAATAGCTGGAGCGTCCCGAATTTTCATTCTAAGATTTAAATATATAAGATTTAAATATATAAGATTTAAATATATAAGATTTAAATATATAAGATTTAAATATATAAGATTTAAATATATAAGATTTAAATATATAAGATTTAAATATATAAGATTTAAATATATAAGATACTTTAGTGTAATGAATGCAATATAAAAATTCAATTTTTATCATTTTAACTTAAGGCTGCACTTACGCCCATTTGACATTAATTCAAATTTTTGACAACTAGGGTGAAGCGCCATTGAAACCTAACCTTAAACATCTGAATTGAAGGCCGTGTCATAGGGGCGTAAGTGCACCCTTAAAAGAAATTTTTTAAATTGTTGTTGATTTATTGTAATCTTTCCAGACAATATGTTTGAAATCAACTATGCGAAATAAGAAGTTCGGCCATTTCTTTTCTATTTTTCCTTGCTGCGATATGAAGTGCGGCTTTTCCATCTTTATCTTTTTCATTAACATTTGCACCATGTGAAATAAGAAGTTCGGCCATTTCTTTACTATTGTTATATGCTGCCTCATGAAGGGCGGTTTTTCCATCTTTATCTTTTTCATTGATATTTACACCATGAGAAATAAAAAGTTCGGCTGTTTCTTTCTTATTGTTTCTTACTGCCAGATGAAGTGCGGTTCTTCCTTCTTCATTTTTTTTCATTAACATTTGCACCATGCGAAATAAGAAGTTCGACCATTTCTTTACTATTTTTCCTTGTTACAAAATGAAGAACGGTTTCTCCATCTTTATCTTTTTCATTGATATTTGCACCATGCGAAATAAGAAGTTCGACCATTTCTTTATTATTTTTCCTTGCTGCGATATGAAGTGTGGTTTCTCCATCTTTACCTTTTTCATTAACATTTGCACCATGCGAAATAAGAAGTTCGACCATTTCTTTACTATTTTTCCTTGTTACAAAATGAAGAACGGTTTCTCCATCTTTATCTTTTTCATTGATATTTGCACCATGCGAAATAAGAAGTTCGACCATTTCTTTACTATTTTGCCATGCTGCAATATAAAGTGCAGTTTTTACGTCTTTATCTTTTTCATTGATATTTGCATCAAATGAAAGGAAATGATCTAAAAGGGATGGAATATTAAACATCACTGAATAAACCAAGCATTGGCTAATGTCATTAGTTTGATCGAAATAAACTAAAAATGATTCAAGATTCTTGTAAATTCCACAGTATTCTAAATCGATCTCTATATTGTACTCATTCATCAAGAATGTAACATAATCAATGTTGTGTGAAATAATTGCATATTTCATGCAGTGTTCATCTGGATCCTGATATAGGGTGTCCAAAGGTGCGTTTAGCACACCGCTCTATATGAGACTATTAAAGGAGATATATGCTGATTATAAATATATAATAAAAAATATGAATATATGTATATGATGAGTATGTTGTATTTTGGCGCCATGCCGGGATATAAAATGAATTTTGAGACAAGAGGCGGTTTCGCGGGAAATTTTGGCAGGATTTTTTTCATTTTTTTAATGAATCATAAAGAAAACATCCTCGCTCTTGCAAAAAAATGCAAAGACTGTAAAAAAGTCTACGAGACATTGGTAAAATGCTTCGGTATGGATGCTCCTAGCTATTCCACTGTAACGTATCATGTTAGGATGTATCACTTCATGAACAAAAAGGCGCCCATCATAAAAATTGACAAAAAATCGCCGGATCAAAGAAAAATTAAAGCAATTCTTCAAGCGCTAGATGAAGACCCAAGAGCATCACTCAGAAGGATAGAGGAGATGACAAAGATACCACGTACAACAGTCAGTTATTATCTGCACAATTATTTGAACTACAAACTAGCGTATACACGTTGGGTTCCGCACAACCTTAATTCAGTTCAAAAAAAATCTAGAGTCCAATCTTCGAAAGAGCTCCTCTCTATATTGGGTGCGTATCAATCCAAGAAGTTTCGCTTTTTAGTAACAGGGGACGAGAGTTAGTATCCCTATCTTGGGTACGGCGGCACTGCGTTCCACCTTACCCAAGATAACGGTTTGACACTTTACAAAACCGCTAATGTATATTTTACAACACAAACACAAACACTAACTTAACCTTAAATATTTACAAAACCACCAACCACTTCACCTCACCAACATTTCGCTAACGACTTCACTAATGAAAAAATAAACGTTCTCACTAACGTTCCCACTAATGTTCTCATTTACAAAAGTATTGCAGCGCTTCCCATTGCTGTGCTTCACACAATAGTTCATATTCTTCAGTATCGCTGCTGTCACTCCAATCGTCAGAGTCAAAGTCACTGTCAAAATAAATGTTAGTAAGTTTTGACAAAGCTAATGAAACACGCTTACCGTTTGTATCTATTGCTTTTATATATCTCCCATTATGTTTGTTGTCATAAATGCTTAAACTAACTTTACCCTTTCTCCCTCGTATCTGATAGAATGTATTTTCACGAGGAACGAAGAACAAGTTCTTGAACTCATGACCGTTGTAGTTTGTTATCTCAATAGTTTTCGTCATTACATCCAAATAAAAATTTTCAGTAAAAATAAAACTAACGTTAAAAATTTCTCATAACATAAACGTTCTCATTACTTTATAACTCTCTTCCTTGGTTTCTTTTTAGTTGCTTTCTTCACGTCTGTCTCCAGCTTAACTGTCTTTCTTCTTCGTCCGTAATGATACCAGTTACTTCCACCAGTCAATGGGTCAAATGGTCTTTCGTAAGGGTTTCCATACATTCCATAGGGACCATACGGAAGAACTACTGGTGGAGGAAGAGTTCCATCGACTCTATTTAAATGCATTGTTTCACCTTTCATCTGGTCATTAAAGTCTTTTGCGTGTTTTGCAAACTCATCGTCCTTTCCTAAAGCATTTTCTGACTCAGTCGCAACCAAATTGGATGCTTTATTTATGAGTCCTATTTTATTTAATCTTAACTTCTTTGCAACCCAGCCTCCAATCTTTCCTTTATTTGCATCTAATGTCTTCGAAACTCTTCCTCCACTCATTTTATTTACTGCGTCATAAGCCCCAAGTGCTTTTGCTCCAAATGCTAATGCTTTTGTTCCCATTGCGCCTAAAGCTGCCCAAGCTACCATTTACACCATATTAAAATCATCTCTCTTCAATATTATCTCATAAAAGTTCTCTTTACTGGAGAAAGTCAATGAAACATAAACATTCTCATGGACTTCGTCCTCGCCGCGTTGCGGCTTCATAAACTTCTTTCTTATATCATCTATTCGCTTCAAAATGTCTGAACAATTGCTAACATCTTCTACAACAGTTATTTCATCATGAATGACCTTCAAGAACAAGCTCATTTAATATGCTATTAAAATCATCTCAATAATGAGTCCATCCTTTCCATCTTTAGGTAGCACAACATCTTTCATTGAAGAAGGTTCGACAAGTCTTATGTTAAACTTACTGACAAAGTTTGTTATACTATAATGCTTCGGTGGCGAATACATGTAGTTTGAAAGACATAATATAGATTCTTCAGCAAATTCACTTATACTGGATTTTATAACAATGTTCTCACGAGACCAAATACCACCAATTGACAATCTTGTAAGCAATCCTGCTGAACCTTCAACTGTAAACGTCGATGGTAACATTCCACGAAGGTCATCTATTGACATCTTTGAGTCACTGAATTTAAATATTTTTTAAAGCAATCGTCATTATCTAACCATGCAATAGCTTTGAAGTTTTCATTCGAATATACATCTGCTTCATTAAATGTAAAACCTGACTTCTTTGCAGAGATGACTTTAAAATCTATTGAGTTTGTTTCAAAATTATATGCTATGCTAACTTCTGAAGGTAATGGATGTCCTTCCGCAGTCAGTTGTTCTCTCACTACCGTTTGAAGCTTTGTGTTAAAAACTTTCATGTCATCTCCTGTGTCTAGGTTCACATACACAGCAACAGGAAAACTATCTTGCTTCTTTGTTTCATCATTATACCTCAAAACATTAAAGTTCTTCAATAATATTGTTCTTCCTGCTGGAATACTTCGAACCTGTCTGATTTCAATAGCTTTCTCACCTCCTACATACTCTACCCAGTGCCTTGGATATTCATAAGTATACTGACTTTCTTGAATTTTGGTAGGTTTCATCATAACGTGTTCATAGTATATCTTTATACTCTTGTCAGTTAGACTCGGTGCTATGTTCTGAATATTTCTGACTTGCATTTTTAATGGAGATAAAATGAAGCATTTAATACATGACGTAGATGAAGACATGAATGAAACTACAGACAAACTTAACTCTTCTCTCATTCTTCCTTTCAGTAAGGACTATGAGTTCTGTTCAAATGGCGTTTATTTCTATTGTGGAAAGATGGGTTCAGGTAAGACATTTAATTTAATTCGTCATATACTCATAACAGAACGTTTAGGAAATGACTCATATTATGACCAAATCATTATATCAGCAACTTCAGACTCTATGGACTCAACAGCGAAAACATTTATGTCAAAAGTTCAAGCCTCTGTCGTTAAAGTTCCAGACAGTGAACTCATTGAATTTCTTCAACGTTACATTCGACGTAAGAGGAAATATTATGCCATCGTTGAATTTATACAGTCAGGAATGCAAAAGACTTCTGAGGAGATGGAAAGAATTATTGACAAACACCACTTACGTCAGTACTCAGGAGTTTACGATATGAAACGACTGACAAACTACATTCTATCAAAACTTTCAAAATACCCCTTCAAAAAATATCCTTCAAACACTCTGCTCGTTTGCGACGACTTCGCTGGTAAAGGTTTAGTGTCAAAGCCTGACTCACCATTAGCTAACATCATTACTAAAGTCAGACATTACCACTTAACTGTAGCAATACTTATGCAAACATGGAGGTTTTTAGCTTTAAACATAAAACGTCTCATAACTGACTTCGTTATCTTTCAAGGTTTCTCACGCTATGATATTGAACTCATTTGGAAACAGTCAGGTATAACATTACCTTTTGAAGAAATTTGGGAAGCATATAAGTCTCTCATCTCTCCTCGTTCATACCTTGAGATTCATATCATGACTAATACCATTAAAGTCAAAAATATTCCATGGGAACGACCAACATTGTTTTAAAGTTTAACCTTCAATTGACTGATGGTAAACAAATTCCATGCATCTCTGTCGCCATTTCTGTTAATATTTTTGCTGTCATTCATATCATCCACTTCTCCATCCGTTAGCTTTTGAGGATATGCGTTAGAATAGCTGTTCTTAAATGAAGGCTTTTCACCTTTGAGAGCATAAACTCTATAACTTTCTGCATACTTTATGTTTGAACCTCCTGAGCCATCATTGACATAAATTTTTATAGGCTTCCACCCTTTGTTCATGTTCCTGCTTCTTCCCTTAGCTCTTTTGTTCAGTAGTTCTACATCTTTATACACAGCTCCTGTCTCAGTGAATTCAACAATATTTTCATTCGTTAGCTTTACATTCAAACCCTTGTCGAGTATATTGTTCATTTCATACATATAAAAGGTTTTTATTCTATATGAAATGAGAAGCAAATCCATCTTAGCTGGTGCCGTTAATGTTCCAATTGAACCAACATCAAATGTTGACTCACGAACGACAAACAATATTGTCATAAAGAATTATAGTTCGGAGTGTTTGAAAGAGCCAGACAGAACTGAAATCCGTGAATTTAAACTCAGCTTCAAACGCTAACGCTACATCAGATGTTAAGTTAGAGTATCCACCACTGGACCAAGTTCTTTCAAGAGAAGCCAACGACAACCCTTACACAAATGTTCAAACAAATCCTTCAGATAACGTAGACCATTACCTTCTTCAGTTATACCAAACAATTTTACTCAAAGACGATAAGAAGCTTTTGACAAATCTTATAAGCAAGAACCAAATAATTCTAACAAAGGAGGACCTTGAAAATGTTATATCACGAATAACAGGGAAACAATGTGTCATTGACTATCTCGACCCTGAAATCGAATGCTGTGGTCAAACGCCACCATTCATGAAAATAGGTAACATCCGCATCATTGAAACACCAGGAACTACAGGAGTTGAGTTTAAGTATAAATATTCGAATGAATATACAAAACTTTCAACAGAATATAAACTTTGTTTGAAATATGTTTTAGTAAATTAAAGCAATTTGTAATATCTATCCAAAACTTCTTCAACAGTATCGAACTCATCTTCATAATGCAAACCTAATCTTATTGACTTGGTGCAGTTTTCACTAACACAATATAGCGCTTTGCGCTCGGCGCCTTTGACGCCTTTTTCTGTTCTCTTGACTGACATAACTAACTCATTTGTTTCATCAAACAGCAACAACCAAAGTTCATGACCTAATACATAACATTCATACTTTATATTTTTAGCTCTGAGTTCTCTTGTAAGCTGTTGCATTTAATATTTTCTAAAAAGTCAACTTCAACAGTCATTCGCACTGGTGCCTTCAGTTCTACAGGCTCGCCTTGAAAGTCAACAAGTCTGAATTGCATGTCTTTCAAATTATGAGGACTAATGCGAATCCATTTACCTAAATGAGTTGCTATGACAGGAACGTTTGGAATGAACATTGAATTGACTGCATAACAGAAAGACTTATATTCTACTGAACCTTTACTATTAACTCCTGAAATGCCTGTGACATTAGCTATTTTAGACTCAATGTACAAACAATTACCATAACATACGTATGGAACAGATTTCATCTCAATCGTTTTGTCAACACTTTTCAAAGGAAATGTCATATGGTATGCTCCCAGAAGCAATTGAACTCTATGACTCATTCGTGTTATCTTAAACTCCTTTGCATAACTGAACTTCAAAACTCCTGCAATAAGTTTAACATTCATTAAGTTTTCTTCGTTATCCTTGTTTATTGTAGTATTTATGAGAGCATTTAACACTCCAGCTAATGTTTCCATCTTATATTCTACATTATTGTGAAATCTTATTTCATGCTTCTTTCCATCTATTTCAAGCTCCATGAAATCTGTTTCATCTGTTATAACGAATGAAGCGATAGTATTGAAGTCAACCTCTGAAAGCAAGTGCTTCATTCTGAAGACCTAAGTTTGTTTGTAGCTTTACTGTCCCGTATTCGTTTGGGTCTGTACTTTGCAAATAGAACAACATTTTATTCTCATTAAAATATGAGTATAGCTGCATATGCGTATGAAGCTGACAGAGCTAAACGTTTATATTTTGGTCAATACTCTCTCACACTTACTGACAAATATATTGTTATCAGTGATGGAAATACCGAGAAATACATAACATGGAAGGACTATGAAAAGTTTGACCCTATTTTAACTCCATGCACTATGCCATTCATTGTAAATGGTGAATTGTCATGAAGAACGACACAACAGTATATAAGTCTGTTCATGAAGCATTAGAATATATGTTGAATCATAACCCAAAAAGATTCGATCCAAGCACTACACCATGTGCAATGCCTTTATTAAGACGGTGAAATCGTAAGAGTTCCGGATTCAACGGTTTACACAGCTGTTCAAAACAGTTTACAAACATTTTAGCGAATATCTTTAATTCAGAAACTACAGAAATGAATTACCATTATAAACAATGCTAAAGAAATTAAATCAAAAACGACAACATTATTTACGTCACTTAATGATTTAATGACTATATTCATTAATATTCCTGCACCAACTACAGGATTTGATCAAACTCGACGGTTTGCAGTGTACTTTCATTAACGACAGTTCATTAATTACTTTAGGGATTCGACAGTAAATGAATCATTAAAGCGTCATTAATGAAAATCATTGATTTTAACTCATTCATAAACATATAATCAATCATTAATGTTTCATATGCTTCTAGAACGTGACCAAAAACTATCAATAAGCGGTGTATGAAATAAAAGCATCACGACGAAATTGAATCGTTAACTTTTGACGGTGATAGTTTCGTTAATCATACATCAGGGAAACCATTTTAACGAAAGAATATTTAAAATCTCATGTTAGTGAGTTCTGTTGAAATTGAAAAAGAAGGTGGAATTAAGTTCGATCCACTGAATTTCATTTTCAGCTTAGCGAATGCGGGTGTTAGTTTCGCTGAATGGACAACTATACAGAGTGAAATAAATGCAATATGGACGTTTTTGGTCAAAAGCGGGATGGGTGAGCTTGTAAAATGTGCAAGAACATTAGGTGAACAGGAAATTTTGTAGATGGTTTTAAAAGACTTGTTTCAAATGTTTTAACAAACACAAAGAAATTATTTAGATATACCATACATAACGGACGGATTTTCGAACAGGTAGCAACAAAACCCTCCGGTTATGGCTGCGTTGATGATGGTTAAGATATAAAACCACGTAACGACGGGAACGAAGAACATGAACAACAGAGCCCAACGGGCTCAGAGCCACATAGTGCAGGATACTGGTCAGTTATTCGAGACATTAAAACGTGTATCTGAAGTTATTGATTTATTTAGAGGAGTTAATGATTCAATTTCAAAACATTCTATAACCCTCGATGAAGAGAATAATTAACAGATTATATATTCGTCATATTGCAGAATTAATGAAGAGAATAAATGAAAAAGGATTGGTGATATCATTAATGTCAGCGATGTAATGATAAAAATTTTGACTCATTATTTACAAACCGAAAACAGAATATAGTCTTTATGACGTAATTACCGAATTAATGAAAAAGATTAATGATAATAAGAGTTCTGCGAAGAGTTGAATTAGAAGTGAATGATTTAATGAGAAATTAGCCGAAAGACGGACAAGAACACATGTTCATTATATAACTTCAGACGAACGATTATAACGACTACCATGGATAATAAAACGAAGTGATGAAGCGAAGACAAAAAATGTTAATGAAGAAGATAAAATACATATCGTGCTAAAGGTTATGACATAAGCTGCTTACTGTACAGTATGATGTAGCATAAGCACCAGAAGCATTTGGTTATACCGGTGAAATTTATGCCTCTACTTTCAATGTTAATGTGTATTAGTTGAACCAAGATTTACTTTGAGAGTTAAGTCAAAAATACGTTAAGATGCTATTAAAAGTAAAGCTGACAAAGATGAACTTGACGCAATGAACAAAGTTTTGAAATCTCATAAACACAACATCTCCGATATAAATGAACTTCAAGCTACATTAGACAGTAAAGCGACAAGAACATACAAACGAATCCTTCACTACTGTTAGAGCAACGACATAATATTGAACTTTGACCTTGTTCAAGTGCACCATTAGAAAATCCAAGTACAAGCGTAAAAGATACACTAAACTCCTTAAATAGTAAATGTATGAACATTGAAGGTCATGTCAGAAACTTTGAAACACATGAACTACCACACATGTTAGATAAGAAAGCAGATAAGAACCATACACAATGATTTCTTCACAACTGTTTGTATAGAAAGTATTGAAGGAACGGTTGAAGAAACTGGTGGGGATGCATTATATTGTAAACCTCCTAACTTTCCACAAGGTTTAACATCGGATGACGACATAACGACGATGAGAAACATTAGATGTAAAGATGTTTATGTCATGAAGGATGAACATAATATTAAATTCACTGCTCAAGATTTATATATAAGAAAGCTGACAAGAACCATACACATAAATCCTTCACTACTGTTAGAGCAGACGACATAATAT